TGAGGCAAGGACTCAAAATCGCAACCTCTGGCAACCAAGGCAATAATTATGCTACAGGTAAATCCCAGCTCCAGTCTGTACTTGGGAATTTCAGCCTGACCGTATCTGCCCTTCCTTCGGAAAACAGCAATAAGGCCATGATTTGTTTTGTTTTGTTTTGTTCACCAGAATGTCCCAGCAGGTTGAAACACTTCTCTGAGGGCCTCAGGAACATGTTCAGACCCCAAGCTCAGAGGAACTTCACTCGTGTCTTGCTTAGGGACAATGTGACAAAGTGAGGCCAAACCAAGCAGCTCTTGGAGAGCAAAATCTAGGACTCTGGCTTTTTGTGCCTTCAAAGGCTGCATGGCTAGAAGTCCCACTTGCCTCCCAACAAGGCATCCTCCTTTTTCAAGGCAAAACTAAACCTTCTAAGTCACTGGAGATGAAGAAAAAGAAACAAACCAAAAAGAAAACCTTTGCCACCAAGGAAAGTGGGAGGCTAGACAGGAAGTCTAAGAGGTGATGAACACAGAATTTGGGCATGGAAATATGACCATGTATTAGCCACCTGCCATCCAGCTGAGCTCTGCTGGGGCTCTTGCTCCTGCTCCCTTCTTGCTAGACTCCAGAAGACAAGGAAATTCCTGGAGAATGGAGTCATTCTTGGAGGACAGAGGGAGTCAAACCCATTCCCTTTGAGCACCAATGCTTTTTATGAAGCTGCCGGTGACACTTGCAGTAGGTCCTGCCTGGGAGACAATGGAAACAGAAGGTTCCACCATCTCCTCTGAGCCCCTAAAGGGCCAACTTTGCCTTGTAAGACATTTCTTCAGTTTGTCCCCTGTGTTTTCTAGATGAATTTCTGCTTGTGACTGGCAGATCCAACAGTTCTTGCTTAAGAAACAAAATGCTCCATGAGATCAGGCAGGACAGGTCTCCGTTTACTTCCAAGAAGGTTGTGGGAAGGAACAAAAGTGCTGCTCATTGCCATTACTACTCGCTTTGTAGGAATACACAGCTAACGCTTCTTTCCTTCCTTTCTCTCCAAAAGACTATTTGTGGATTTCTTTGCTGGAAAAAGTTTAATCTGTTCAATTCTGTCATCCAGTTCCAATGGAATTACAGGTGCAGACTGAACTACAAAGTACTAAGGTGACTAAGAGTGCAGAAAGGGGTGGAGGTTTGACACGTACAGTTTGACCTGGAACTGCCAAGCACTTGTAAGTAAGAATTCTCTGACAGTGTCCGCTTGGGAGCCTGCTTTACGAGTAGAACTGACCCAGCCCCAAAAATGAAGGGGCTGCTGTAATCCAGAGCACTGTAAGGAACACCATCCTGTGCATGCACATAAATTCCTGTCAGAATTAATTTTTTTTCAGTGCTTACTAAAAGCATAAAAGGTGTCTGTTGGGAAATACCAGCATTCATTCTTCTCAGATGTGAAATCCTCTATTTCATGAAGTACAAACTCTCTTTTGGAGGAAGCTTGCTTTTTTGTGTCGAAGTGATTTTACATTCTTAGCCATAGACTGCCCTGCAGTGGTGAAGCCAGCATCTGCAGTATTACTGGCTTTTATACAGGATCTTTTAACTTCCTTATTTCGATGTAGTTCGCTCATCACTAGAAGGGACAGAAAGAGCCTATGCAAACTACAGAACAAAAAAAAAAAAAAATGAAGCAAGGGAGATTTTAGTCTTCAGCGTAAATATAGTGTGTAGCAAAATGCCACTACTGACTTTTTAGCTCTTTTTCACAGGAAACAAGGCAGAGTTGATCACAGCTTGTATCTGTTTGTCTCCAGAAGCTATTTGCTGACTGCAGCCAAATTTAACTGCAAAAAATTAAGATGTCAGAGACAGCTATCCAAAATCAACAGATTTGGGCAAAAGTGGGGTTTGCAAACACCTCAAGGAAAAGTATGGTTGTAGTGTCAGCACAGAAATTGTTAGACAACAAAGAATCCACAGAGGAGAGTGACCTTGTAAATGCCCCAGAAGATAAGTCTCAGCCACATCTCACAATGAACCTCGAGACGGAAATCCTTAGAAACCCATACTAAAGCAGAAACCAGGCTTCATTAGTTCTGGAGCTTGCTTTGTAAACTGATGAAAATTTCTTCTTCTTAGATCAGCTACCTCTCCCTCACCAGAGAAATTAGCACTCTAATCATAGTTTTCTAAAAATGCAAAACTTCTAGAGTTTCATTTTCTATGCATTCCTACCAGTGTCTGCATTCTAAGCTGCAACACATTTATCAGGGCTAGTAGTAGCACAAAATGGTACCACCTACTCTTTAGGTAGCAAAGATGCTTGTATTCAGGTTGGCTGTGGCTTAAGCAGTTACTTTAAGTTCTCAGAAGAGTAAAGCACAATTGGTGTTCATTAACAGAGACAAAATGATACCAAAAGCATTTTTCACACACAATAGAAGGTGTGGATTACTCTTGTACTTCAGATGATTCAAGAGAACTGTCCATCTCTCAGCTAATCTCCTTCAGCTCCCCTTACAGTAAGATCAGATAAACAGGCACTTTAGAATGCAATTCAGGTAACCTCCTTTGAATATGTCCTTTGATGTGAGATGAATGTCAAAAATGGCTATTTCTCTCCATTTCCTGTAGAGGAAGCCGAGGATTACTAGCTCAAGACAGGCATTTCTTCTGCAAACATTGGAATTTAGAGTCTTCTTACTATAGTATTAATTATATATCCCTCAAGCAGTGCAAATGAACTTCATATCCTTATAGCTGAGGGACTACTTTCTTAGTGAAAATACATGATTGAGATGAACTGAGACAGTTCCAACATACACAACCCTGCTAAAATGAGATCTGGTGCTGAACTGGAAGTTTCTTCAAGTCCTCTGAATCACTTCATGGTGATTGGCTTTGTTCTGGCAGGCAGCATCAACTCCTGCCCCACGTTACACACTGGGTCCTCCAGACAGTATCTTCTGATATTTCAGTTTTTAAGGAGCCAGAAAGATACACCCCAAAATTTAGGAAATACATCAGTTCACTTCCTATAACTTGAAAAAGAGCTTTTCTTCTAAAACTCAGGCTCATCAGGACAGCATGTGAATAAGTACAAAACCTATCATTTTTTTTTGAAACGTGCTTTTAATCATTCTGAGAAAATAAGCTGATTACAAAAGGACTCAAAAGGCTGTGCACTTGGAATAATACAAATTTGTGTTCTTATTTTGTGCACAAATAAATAGAGCACTGTTACAAACAATCAGACAACAAACAGGATATAGTAACTGGGAAAAACAAAATTCAAAAGTAGTCAAGGAAGATGAGAATGGTGCATAGTCCTTTTAGTTGAATGCTGCTAGGTTTTTCCCCCTTCATTTTGATGTTAAGCTGATGGCCCTCTTGATACGGTTCAGAGTCCTTGCCTTGTCGTTTTCTTCTGTGCTCTGTGACTCACTGGAGATGCTGCATTGAGTGTCTTGACAGCTGCAGCTTTCCACATACACATACTTATGCCACATTGAATCCCCAGTGGGGCATTTCAGTTGGACTTCCCTCACTGTAGTCCTTGACTCCCTGCAGCAAGAACAGCTGTGGTCCATAGAATTGGCCTCGGCAGAGTATCTGTCAACATAGAAAATGGCAACATTATGCCAGAAGCTAGGATACTGAGGAGAGAGTGAAACTAGGTACACAGCTCCTGTGAGAAGTCTGGAATAATATGTAGAAAAGCCACAGTTGTGGCTAATGAAAGTGCAAAGCTCATCTGAGAGAGCAGCGGTTACAATGCTATGCTTCTAAAATTCATTGCATTTGCTGAGATTTTTTTCTGGTAAAACAATGAATCTCAAAGTCCTAATAAAAAACCCCAGTGAGTTCTAGGAGCTTGGCTTCCTTAGATTCCTCTCATCATCCCAGCACTGATGAAGTTAAATACATCAGATCAACAATTAAGGGCAGACAAAGTCCTGACTTGAATAAGAAAACTGCATAGACAAGTGGCTACAATGCCATCTACGATGGCATCACATCAATCAGTTGGCTACAAGGGCTACAAATGCATCACGTAAATCAAAGTGCATCTTACAAACCAGGCAGTGTTAACAGGGGAATCAGCAGCTCTTTCTGTTCCTATCCCACAGCAAAGCATTTTTTGCAGCCTTGTGTTCATCAGCTTCCCAAGCACCATTCCTAACCTGCAGAATCTGTCAATTATCAGGCTACAAACTGTGTCAAGAGCCATCTTTTTCTTGTATTTGTGTGCAGAGGCAACCACAGCAAGACTTTAAGATGATAAGGTATTTCACAATATTAATAAATGCCCTGGCTAACTGGGGTTTGGTCTGAGACTAAAGATCAATATTTTCCCATGTAAGGTGCCCTGTGGCCTACTCAGTGATAGGCAGCAAATGACAGTTTCTTCAGGGAGTTGGGATTATGTTTTTCCAGTGTTTTAATAGCTCAGTACCAGGTGTCCCTTTAGCCACTTTCTTATAGCCACTGTTTTGTAGATTCATTTCAGAGAAAAAATGTACAGTGAAACTACTCCACTGACACCACTCCTAAAGCATTTGTTTTCTAATTTCTTTACTGTATAAAAATTGCGCGTGTTTGAATCTCCCTTTAAAAGACATATGTGTATTTAATTTTAGATGATAATTATTGAGAAGCAGCTTTTCAACTTATGAGCATCAGGTCTGGCTGCTCTCTGGGCTTATTCCCATCACAGGAAATAATCCATGTTCTTTTGTGATGATTTCCTGCCAAAGTGATCTGACACAAGTGACAGACAAGCCAGCTCCTAATGAATGAATAGATCTTATCACAGCTGTCTGAATCCCAAGGCAATTTAATGCATTTTTCTGCTTTGTATTAAGATGAATCAACTGTTCAGTCACAGATTTCATTATTTTGTGCCCATGATTTGAGGAACTGATAGTTTCAGGTCTTCTACCATTCCGTAGTCCACCTATTTATTGTTCCTTTTATATAAACAAGCTCAGTGCCAGCAGAATTCAAATCTCATTGTCCCATCAGTTTACTCACAGCGAGAAGGTTCCGCATGTTCCTTCACATTCAGTCATGACAACTCTGTCCACAGAACGGCAGCCCTTATAGACGATAAAGTCTTTTCTTTGACGGACAGAGCATGGTGTGGGACTATCCAAAGGTGCACCTATAG